ATAGCAGTTTCCATCGCGCTTAATTATCCACCTGGGCGGGACGGTTTCGCTGACTTGACCACAGTAAACGTGGACGCAATATGACTTACTTTCGTTTACCCGCGTTACCAGAGTGCAGAGAAACTGAAATCCGGACTGCCGTACAGTTATTACCAAGCTGTCGTTTCCCAGAGATAGATTTTCCGCGAAATAAACTCTACATTCTAGTACCTCAAATACATGTGTCGCGTACCGAGGAAATTTTGTAATATAATATTGCAAATGCATGCTAGCGCTACAACGTAATCGATTGTTATTGTGCGAATGCCGGCGTAAAGTCATTAATCGATATTTAAAAATAACCAGCAAAGGGACAAAGTCTTCGAATAGATAAGTGAAGAAATTTTGAGTCATAAATTTATCGCAAAATAATTCCGATTTGCGAGAATAACAATTTGGATATTATATTGAAATATTTACGTCGTATCATAATTAAACATTTAAATAATAATAATTTTTGTGCTATCTTGCATTTAAAATCCTAAATCAAGCTTTCTACTGCAGAAAAATTGAACTTTTGACAATATTTGATATTATTTGCTTGAATTATATATTTTCAAGATACTTGGATATTTGCATTTTACATCTGAAATATAGTTTTGTAATATTTTGTGCAGACTTCGTATTCGTGCAAACAATCTTGAAAGCAATCTGAGAAGTTTCTTTCCCTTTAATTCACGTCAAAGGAGAGTCGCTTCCGACATTTCTCTTTTAGCAGCTTTGCAGTGGAAATTACACATGCAATTAGATGCTAAACGTTGAGAAAGTACATTTAGAATAAATAAATCCGAGTGTAAAACAAATTGAAAATATTGACGAAATCGTATGAATTAATCAATATGATACTCATGCGCTCTGTTGTTCCATTACATGCGCAAGCAAATTGGATATTGCGTTAATTTGTGGATATAATCACCGGAGAAACTCGATTAGCTTGAAAAAGTAGATTATGTCACACGAAACAATGAAATAAATGCAATGAGTGTAAATTGCACAATAACGAATCCATTTCAGCCGGGCCAAAAGGAAGAATTTGTTACGTGATACGCCGCGATGAGCAGTTTAATATTTTATAAATATTTGTTACACAACTATGGCGGGATTGGAAAAATCGAATGTCACGTTTAATGTCGATTCAATTATGCGAAGCATTATTTCATCTCTAAGAATATATCATTCCAATTAAATATGTATCGAGTCACATTACGCGTGACGAGAATTACGTTGCATAAATCATCAATAAAAATAACACGCAAGATTACTCTGCTGGGAGTAAGTCAAGTTAATATGCGCGCTGATATTCTGATACGTGTGCGTAATTAATTTTTTTATCGGTCAAGCAAATCGACGAAAAAGTGCAAAAAAAAAAAAAATTATTGATTTCAACTAAGAGTGTATCTTTTATATTTTTCGCGACGTTAATTAATATTATTGGACGGTGAGTAACGTAAAAATCAAAGCACAAAGAAGTTAATATCATCTTTCGCAGTCTGTATTTTATGAAGTCACTCTTGTAACATAAAATTAAATTTTCTTTTCGCAGGAGTTACTTCGAAATTACTAGAAGGCGACGCTAAAATGCTAATTATATGTGACACAGAGTTCAACCGCCGGTATGCACTTCCTTGAAAAACCTCTTTTACATGACATGAGATAAGTCATTCTGCATACACACATAGGACCAGCGTGCACTATAATTCCCACCGACCCGCGTTATTAACTTGACATTACATAGAATTTTTCATCGTCCCATGTAACACATATATCTAGTTTAAAATTGTCTTTACTCCCTTCGAAGGAAATATGTATGAAAATCGCGAGACGTTCTCGTAATTAAATTTTTTTTTCGAAATTATTATCTCTAAAGAGGAAGCATGTGTATATTCTCGATGAAAAAAACCCACTCGCTGAAAGCTACTCGTCCCGATAATTTTCGGACATCCAATTTCGTGCAGCGAAATAAAGCAATTTTGATTTCGCGAATTAAATGTAATCAGCGTGATTGCTAGGATCCTTCATAATTCATAGAAAATTGCAATCGTGCGTCTGCGGGAAGAATTATGCAACGTGACGCGGAATCAAAGTGCACGGAGAACGGCGCGTGCAGATATTTTCGAATGTGCGGCGAAGCACGACAGCGATTACTCCTAAAACGGCGCTCTTCTTTCAACAAAAAGCGCCTGTTTACGCGCAAATAAAACAAGTTGCATGCACGCATGGCCGCGTGCGTGAAGCGGGTGTGACACCTCCAGTTACAAACGAGATATTAATGCGACGACGATCGCTCTTGCCGCGTGACTGATTTAAATGACGCTTTTAAATAACCGGGACAGATTCGAATGGCGGCGCAGCGATAGAATATCGGAAAAACCGGCATAATAAATCCGAGAAAATGGATTTCGCTCGTAATTAAATGGAGAAAGTCGATGGCGATTGAGCGTGTGTCTGTACGAGCGGATTATTCATCGTACGCGGAAGGAGATACGCCTCGAATGACGAAGCCGCAACCCTAAATTTTCGCGAGCCGGAGCTAATATCGCTAATGTCATCATCGGGACGCCCACATTGAGTTATATATGGCGTGACAAGCCCCCCCCCCCTCCCCGAATTTCCGTAGACGCGGATTAATATTAGCTTTGAAACGCTCTCGTTAGTTTATGGTGTGACTAATATTAAATTGTCGTGAGTTTGAATTAATTTTACTAACGCGACTTCTGAAATATGAAATTATACATGATACAACAAGCCCTGAATTTTCACGAAACCCGGTTAATTTTAATAGTATCGCGCACAGTACATCGGAACCCACATCGGATTACACGCGGCGTAACAAATGTTCAATGTGCAGTTAAAAGTTTACTTTAGCTGATATTACTAATGTTGTAATTGGAATGGCCGTTGAATTTCTATATCCAGTGTATGCGACAAATTCTATATCTCAGCGGGCGTAAATTAATAAAATGACCTTTGAAAACGCGTCCCCGTTCGTTTATGGCGGTGACGAGTATGAAATTTTCATAAATTTAAACTAACGTCGCTAATGCGTCCTTTGAAGCGTGAAATTATGTACGCAATAAATCCTAAACTCACATGAAGTTCTATTAGCGTGTCTCTGATATCACTATCGGAAGTCTCGCGTAGAATTACGTGTATAACGGTGTTACACGAATCTTGAACGCGGAGTTCTTTTTCACTCCCGCACTTTCGAGGCTTTATTACACGATTAAAGTCCTCTTCCGCTCCACCCCGCCGATATAATGGTCGATGACCGTACGCGAGGTATGGAGGATCATTTTCGAATTACAAGCGATCGATTAACGCGACACCGATACGCTCGTGATGAGTAAATCGTTTGCACTATTGTATTGTCGTTTACAGAATGTTTTATCGCACATTACACAGAAGTGGCCGCTTTCAAAACTACATCACTGTTACATGATGCGCTGTTAATTATTGTCGAGAGTAATGGAGCGATATTAATAGAGATGCGGATGCTGTTACGCTCCGGCTGAATGGCCGCGACACAATTGTAGATTGCGAAGAAACGCAAATCGGACGGCGAGAAAACTTTTCAGATAGAGAGAAATCAGCGCGGAACGCAAGTCCCGCATTGAAGCAACGATACACTTACAATAAGCAACGCTGCGACGAAATTAACGAAACTAATTTGTTCTATGAATCCTTTTCGCAGCTTTTAATTGTAATTAGAGGAAGAAGTCAATTAATTCTTTGCTACAGCGTGTTGCTTTCGCCGTAACAAATAAATGGTACAAAAAGCGCGCTGTTTTAATGAAATCCGACATTTACGACGTTTTTCTCGTAATATGCACTTTTCACGAAGCGTAATATTGCTACGAAAAACGTGTATACGGCTAAACATGGCTTTTTGCGCGGGATAAAAACACGCCGGGACATCTCTCATCTCCCGTCTTTTCTCGAATAAATCGTTTTGAAGTGAAAAGTCATGCAATGGAAAATAAAATCGATTGATATCGAGGACTGCCTCGAGTCGTCTCTTCACGCGGCCCACGGTTTCTCAACACCCACACTAAGCACCTACACGGGCGTGTTAAAATTTCCATCGAAGATTGGAAGAATATCGCGCGTCTATTTATGCTACATCGGGACCCCATTTCATTATAAAATTACAAGATGATAAATAGAAAGTAAATTAATCGATCAACTTGTTAACTTGTCAACATGTAACATCACACTGCGTTGTGTTTTCAACGTTGGTTACTGCGAGTGTTATAATTGCGCACATCTGTAACCGCGACTTTGGACTGCACTGACTTTTCTTTTATTATTATGATTTTGTGTTAAGAAACTCGCGCATTTGATAAATCTTTTTCGATTCAAAGTCAATTTTATATTTCTAAATACAAGAAAAATATTGCTTCGTACGGTATAAAAAAAATATTAAGACAAATACTTGAATGAAAGTAAAATGACAATTTTCACGGATTTTATACCCCGAAAGATCTTTCTTAGGCCTTTTTTGCTCGAAACGAAGACGGCGGGCAAACTGGAGAATGAAAGGAATGCGTTATGCATAGCGTTACGTCATTTTTCTTCAGCTTTGCGGTGCCGCGAAACGGAGTCCAAGATGAAAAAGCAGTTTGTCGCAGCAGAATATAATCGGTGCGTGCGGCATCACGGTCATTGATCGGACCGTGTTTGACAGCCGCCATGGCCGGAATCGCGGTGGGTACGCATCGGCACTTAATTTCGGGGACGAAGAAAAAAAAAAGGGAGTTTTTCGAAGAAAAGCCGACAAACACACACCGGCATCGATCGCGGTAGTGCGCTTTGCTGCGCCTGACATTTGCCTGATTTCAAGGGTGAGAGCGCCGCATGAGAGAGCGAGCGAGCCCCGCCGATGTCGCGGATACGTGCGGCCCGGCCGCTTGAAATTCGCGGAAAAGAACGGGTTCCGGGAAACAGGGAACGATGGATCTTACCTGCACCCGGCAGACCGACAGGACGCCGAGCAGCGCGGCTAGCGCCAGCATCCCCTTCATCTTCTTCCTCTTCCCGGCCCACCTACAATCCCACGTCCTCGTTGAGAGTGCCCGCTCCGAAGTTACCTCGCGAATTCACCGTGTTTCTGCGGAGGATCCTGTTCGTCGCCCTCCTTTTCTTCCCGCCGAGAAGAAAAACGACGCGCGTCAAACGCGAATTCCGAGAGAAACCGGACGCGACTGTGTTTCTCCGATTTATGCCGTACGTACGGTTTTATGCGGCGCACAATTTTCACCGGTCGTATACTACCGTGAGCGCAGCAAACTACTACTGCCTGCCGCTGGCTGCCGCCGCTGCTGGGTGGGTCGCTCGCTCGCCGTAAAAGCAAGATGGAGACGAGCGTCGGCGGCGGTGGCGGTGGCGGTGGCGATCGCGCCGCTTCGCGCATGCGCATCGCGGTCAGTCGATAACGTGGCGGGAACGCCGCCGATTCGAACGTGTGATGCCGCCGCGTCATCCGGCGTCGCACGATTTTCGCAATTGGATTAGACAATTAACAATTGACCGCCGCGAGAATTTCAATTTTAACTCCATTAAAGCCTAACTGATCGTGATACATCCAATGTTGCGGTAAATAAACGCATTCATAACGGACATACGTTTAATCTAGATTTTTCGATCGATCTAGTTAACGTCTCGATTAGCTCGTTTGCTCTTAGCGACGTTAGCGAAGAATTTTTACATTCGTATCATTGAAAGCGATAGATTTTTTGAAAAATATCTATAAAATGTAATAACGAAAAAAGGTTGCGCAAACACAGCAGACATTATAAATTCTGGATTAAAAGCAGCAGATGTTATTTTAGTTATTGAAAAACATCGTTTGCCCGGCGTTGATAATGTAATGTAGTTTTCTATATTTTGAATAATCAAATGACGCTTAATTGCATTAGCCCGCTATCGTTATTATCGTTTTTCAATAAAACCAATAAATGTTGGTATACTTAATTGAAGAATGCAATTCCGCGAAAAGATATATGATAGATGTGAAATATATTAATATTATGCAATTTTATTCTTCAATATTCCCATCTCTATTTCTCCTTTATTCTGATGGAATTATTTTTTCAGATTATATTTCTATGTATGTTTCATATTTTTTTACCATAATATTGAAAATATATTGAAAATTGATATTGGAAATTGGCGTTTAATCCATTCTCTCAGGATTAATTGTAAATTTTAATTCCCAATTCGTGCGTCAATATCTCTGATTTATTCGGACCTTGACGTTCATTACGTGACGTAGTGATGTCCTATTTATCGTTGCAATAAATCATTGGATGCTCAAGTAGCGCGTTAGTGCATGCGTTTAATGAGTTCATTTGTGGCTCTAAATTATAGAAGCGTAAGGGGGCCGTAATTGTGATTGTCAGACTCGCGGAAATCTGAATTCGTGCGTCCGGGCAAAGTATCTCGCAAATAAATTTATTACCAACTTTTGTTTCCTGCGTAATTGAAGCGGTTCCCGGAATAACATTGTTGCCGCAACGTTGCTACGCCACTTTTCAAACTTTACAGAAATTAATAAAACCATTTGTTTGGCAGAATGTTCAACGGAGTCAAGTAACATTTTAATGACGCGGTATTCGGTACATTTCGATATAAGCAAATTTAAATGCCTGCGCTGCTTCCGAGTTATGAAATTTGCTTTTAAATGTTATCAGAGGAACTTCTTCTAATTAAGATTCCACCGGTTTCATTATAAAATATATAATATTAATTATTTACAAAAAAAAAACATCGTCGTTTACTTGCCTTGATTAGTGCTGCATAATTCATCTACACTCCGAGCGTAACTCTGTGATTCCTGTGTAACTCGAGAAACGAGCGCGGGAGTTGGGACGTATTCCGGTTGTAAAAATGCTAGGTGCGACTCCTTTTGCTAATTAAAGGAGCTCTCTGTCCTTTGTGCTTTAGAGAATGGCGAAAGCGCCGACCAATGGTAATCGATGACGGAGCGAGAGTTCGCTGCTGCAGTAAATTGATCTTCCGAACCTACGCAAGAAATCGAGGTGGCTTGAGGAGACGAAGGGGAAGAGAAGAAGGGAACAGATGGAGAAAGCGAGAACAGAAGGAGAAAGAGAGAAAGAGAGAAAAAAGCAGGGGAGACGGAAAGCGCAAGAGGGTTGCAGCAGAGCAGAAGTTGAAATGTCTGCATCCATGGCAAAATCAACAACCTGTAGATGCGAGAGCCTGGCTGCCGCTATCACGACGGCAATAAGGTAACAAAGAAATCATGTTACTGCTCTATGGAGCACCACTGAAGGAGAGTAACAGCAACGACGATCCTTCTCGTACAAATATTCCTCTGCAAAACTCTCGGATCACGCGTGTGCGCGACTGCGACATCGAGGATACGTTTTTAGAACAGTCGAGAGTTTTATTCGACGCGACCGTCGTCTTCGATGACGGTGAAAAGTTCTTGATTCTGAAGCGTACCTGCTTGTAGACACTTAAATTTATATGAATGTCGCTCGTGCTTGGCGCTAATTATCTTTAACTAAATTATTCCCTGCGCAAAATAACCAATGCAGATGAAAAGAAACAAAAGGGAGAATTTTTTAAATAAATATTAATGTTTCTAAACTGAAAATGATTAAAAGCAGAGGTTTTTAATCAAATAAATTTTCCTAACAAACTCGTAATTCTTCTGGAAATCACTTTGCAAAATTGTAATTCGCGATTTAGCGATCAAAGTAATTAATATTGCAAAAAGATAGCAAAGGTAACAATTCTAGCACAAATTTTATGATTATTCTATTCATGCGAGCACTCTGTATTACGATAATCGGGAAAATGACAGCAAGACGTCAATTAAAATTATTCTATCCAGATTATTGCTCAGATTTCACTGTAGCGAAATATAAATCTTGAAACTGTGTTTGGAAATAGCAAATTACGTGACAGCTCTTTCGTTAATTTAAATTGAAATAATTTAACGTTTCGGCCTTGTCAGTCAGTTTTGAATATTAGCTAAAAATACATTTCGCTCTAAAGGATAATTTTTTAAATATAAACTCAGTTTCCTTCTAACTGCGAATTAAAAATGACATCTATCTTTCAAATGGAAATACACGCCTGCCCGAAAAATATGATAATCCATAGTTTGGATTTAAAAGCTAAAATTTTTATACACACGTTTCTACATTTTTAATTTACACTGCATTCTACTTTATATTATATATCTGTATCATTTATTCATATTCTTAGTAAATCACGCGAACGATATTAGCTAACCGGGTCGCACTTGCGTATAAAACGCTTAATAATCACTCGACGACTGTCCTTTCGCCGTAATTTTTATGCCAAACGCAGTTAAATAAACATAACGTTGTTTACAACGGCCGTAACCGGAAAAAAATAATGTTTGGTGTCGATTCCCTCGTGCGTAACTGCACGCAATCGTTACAACACGTTATTGGTTACGGTAATTGGCTCCGCGCGTCGAAATAGTAATTTTGCACTACCGTACATCGCACTCGCGGCGTCGCGTCGATGTGCCGCTGGAATAATACACTAACGTGGCTGGCGGGGAATCGCGCGCGCGTTTCGGAATCAATTACGACCCCGCGAAATTGTGGCGCGATTTTGTTTCCCGCATTTTTCCCCTCTCTGCTATCCCGCCGCTGTTGGAAAGCATAGCAAAGAGGTAAAAGAAAGAGATGGCGAGCGGGAGAGGAAGAGACGGCATACACTCTAATACCGTTCTCCCTCAAAGGGCAACGATAATTATCGAGTCGTGAGAAACGGACCGCGGGTCTTCAAAGGCCGCGGCGTTCTGAAATTGCGGTTACTCGAAGGGACGAACTTGGTGATGAGAGCGGGAAAGGTAACGCGCGAAATGAGAGCAGAAAGGGACTGCCGTCGCGCAAAGTAGCGCATTAAGTCCCGGGGCTGAGCGCACTCACCTCGCAACAGCGTGGCCATTTTTCAGCGATAACGCCGTGAGGGCCGTCCTCGCGATAAAACGCGGCGAACAATCCGCGGTATCTTCCGGCGGCGGACAAATGGAGCAGGTGCCAGCCAGCATTCACCCAGATAGCGCGAGTGTCCCAGTCGCGTTAGACATTTTGTTGCTTGTTTCACTTTTAGCTTACCATTCGCCGAGCCCATAGCTCTATCAAGCTGAAATTTTAATAACATTATTAAAAGCTCAGGCACGATAAAACGGAGATAAGTAAGATTGCGTATCGCTAAATTTCGAATTAAACGACTTAAGCTATGAGATGAGCTTTTGCGGCTTCTCTTCCCTTTTGTTGCTTCGCCGTGTGTACAAACACCGTCGAACTATAACGTAACTAATGTATTGTGTGTGCGAACATCCTGCAAGTGCTACGTAACTCGATATGAATTGGAACACATAACTCTACTGATATATTTTGCAAACAAGAAATTGCAAATGTGACCCGCGAAAAACGGATATACCTTATAAAGTGTACTACAAGCGCAGAATTAAACAGCGAGCGAAAACCAATGAGAGAGGGTTTATGTTTCTATCCTATAAACACAGGAAAACGACTTTCCCCTTGAATCCTGATAATGAAAACGTAACATACCCGTAAGGTAGATTTTTTTTTTTGTTCTACATAATCGAAAAATAACCCGCCGAAGTTGTATAACTTTCAATTTTTGGTTAAAAAATTCGCTGCGGGATGAATTCTCCCGATCCTGCGGGAAAAAATATCAAATGAAATCAAAAAGAGAGAGCATTTTCGTTTTATTGTATAATTGTACAATAATTTCTACGACTCGCAAACACACGGAGTCAACGCTCCGCGATATAAAATAAACGAATTTAAGATAAATCTGAGGAATAATTCAGGAATGGACAAAGAAAATGTATATCTTAATTATATATCCATTTCGTTAGCGCGCCCACGAGGGATAAAAAAAAAAAAGGAACGTCCCTGAAAAAAAAAAGGAAAATCTCTCGCGACTCTTTGCTGGCAAGACGCTCGCTCGCTCGATCGCGCGATCCGCCTCCCTCGCGAATCGCTCGCTCGCGCGAGCAACGGGCGACCGTTGGCGACAACGGTTTCCTGTCTTTCGCCTTTTTCGGCGGGCACATGAAAATGCATGAATAGGTAGCCTTGGCCCGTGTGCCTTCGCCCGTGTGTCGGGCACCGTACCCGTACCGGTTACCCTGGAAACGGTATCGATTTCACCCTCAGCTATGCAGTAGGAAACCAGCACCACACCATGGGGGTCTCTTCACCCTGAGTTTCGACGAGGAGCACGGAGCCCGTTTCGACAACCGGATTACAAGGGCCCCTGTCTCTCTTTTCCACCCCTCTCCCCCATCCGCGCCGCCCACCC